ATATCGAATCGATCGAAAAAAAAAAGAAACAAAAAAAAGAAAAGAAGGAAAACCACCATTACATTTTAACCCTAACAAGATATTGAATTTCTTACGGGGTAAGAGGAGATGGAGGAGGAAAAGAAGGAGGCGAAGGAGGTGAAGAAGGAGAGACTAGGAGGGTAAGGGATTACGAACCCTAGAGCAAGAGTCTCGAGCGGATTCGTGCCTTGGGATATAATAGAACACCTCTACATCGTGTTCCAAGCGACTACTACTCTGTGTGTATCTTGGTCCTCTCGGCACTCTCTCCAGCAACCCGGCTCGCTCTCGCCTTTACACACTCTAACAAACACCCATTTTCAGACAATGAATATTTTAGCGTAGCCATGAAAGCATGCTCGAGCGTTCTTCTTCTCCTCTTCTCCTCTTCTCAATCCTTCTCTCTTCTTTTCTCTTTTCCCACTCTTTTTCTACCCTTCTCTTGTCTCTCTCTCTCTCTCTCTCTCTCTCTCTCTCTCTCTCCTTTTTTCTCCTCTTTTTTATTTTTTTTCAATTTTTTTTTCCTTTATTTTTTCTTTGTACTTCGCTCTTACTCTCCTATAGGCCGTTGCACAAAGGACACATCCTCCTGGGCTATCATCCTACTATCTATGGGAGAGAAGGGTGACGATTCTCTTCTAACCCCTTGACCATTGACGATATACCACGTATGTAACTGGATCAAGTAACACTGTTCTCCTTTTCTTTTTCCTTCTGTTTCTTTTTTTTTCTTTTTTTTTTTTTTTATATATACCGAAATAATACCTAACTGGGGGAAAAGAGACTCATAATATTTTCGATAATCTGTTTATTATTATTTAAGAGTGACTTTTATTTCGTAAATAATTACATTATTTATACGTTTCATGTGTTCTTCGTTTGTTCACCTTTTTGTCATTTGTTATATTGACAACTTTTCTTCATTTCTCTCTCACTCTCTCTCTCTCTCTCTCTTTCTCTCACTCTTACGTTTTCGAATAGTTTATCTTTCGTTTTTCTTTTTGTTCTAAAAATTTATCATCATGATTGTAACGTAACGTTTACGTTGAAAGGTTTACAATTGTAAATTTACGTTTAGATTGTTTACGAGAGAAGTTTTATCGATCGAGCAAATGACATTGGAAAATATTTATTTCTATTTGTTTTTTTTTTTCTTTTCTTTTTTTTTTTTTTTTTTTTATTGGTTCTCTCCCACCATCCCGCCCCCCGCTTCCCCATCACTCCTTCTATTCCATCGTCGAAGCACGAGACTTGAACTTTTCTATATCGACGAGAGGTCGTTTCTAATACATATTATCTCGCATAGTTTACCATTGACAGAAGAATACCGACGATAATTTCCTACTATACCAACCTCACGTGTATCTAATATATTTTTCAATGTTAACGATAAGATAAAAAAGATTATTTTGGCGTGATCTCCTCTCGCAAATATTTCACGAGCAAACTGATAACAGATTGTGGATTGAATAAGTGGATCATCGCTTATCCCATACGCTATCCATGTTTTCGATAAGAAATTTCTTTCTTTTCTTGTTTTTTTCTCTCATTCATTCATTCTTTCGTTCATTCATTCATTCTTTCATTCATTCCTCCATTCATTCATTCATTCATTTATTTCTTCTTTTTTTTTCGTTTTTTTATTTTTTTTTTTAAATAACAAATTCATAATGTACCAAAGTGCATTGAAAATATACTCGTAACATTTTTAATAAGTCCGTCATTGGAATTTTATTAAATCGATACGATAAAGTTGAGTAACTGTAACGAGTAAACACTTTTTTAACAAGCCGTCGATAAGGTAGAACTTTCTCAATCCTTTTTATCTTACGCTGATGAATAACATTTAATTTAGAAAAATCGTACGTTTTTCCTTCTCTTTCCTTTTCTTTTCCCTATTTTTTTATTTTTTTCTTTTCTTTTTTGTTTTTATTTCTTTACCTTTTCTTTTTTCTCTCTTTGCGTTGAAACTATGAAACAAGAGCAAAGGAAAAAAAAGGAATAAAAAAAAGAACGAAAATTCTCTTTAAGAATCCATTCTCGAATAAAAAAAAAAAAAAAAACAACAACAAAAAACAAAAAGAAACAAGAAAAAAAGAACAAAAAAAAAATTGAATGAATTAACTTTTCGTCGTACTTCTTTTTACAAAACACGTTATCAACCGAACACATCTCTCATTGATAAGAACGTATGAATGAAGTCAGTACTACCACTACCTACTACTACTACTACTACTACTACTACTACTACTACTACTACTACTATTACACTACTACTACTATTACTATCACGTTACTCGAAAAAAAAACGAGGAGGGAAAAAAAGGAAAAAGACAAAAAATATCGAAAACTGGATTAAAATCGACAGGAGTTGCGACCATTGTCCAGCTGTCCAGTAATAGACGACCCTCTTTTGGCTCGAGCTAATAATACAGAATTGATCTGGGACGCTTCGGTGATTATATTTCACGTTCGACGAACGTTTGCCTTTTATTACGGTCGTACTATAAAGGGAAAAAAAAGACGACGTTTTTCTGAGCTTTGCTCTCTCTCTCTCTCTCTCTCTCTCTCTCTGTTTTTTTTTTACTTCTATCTTTTTTTTTTATACCAATTTTGCTTAGAGAGACCCCGGCTGCCTCTTTTTAGCTGGACATTTCTCCCATTCCATCTGCTTTTTCGAGACAAGCCGTCTCAATTTCACGCTACGATAAATGACGCAAGTCCGACAAAAGAAATAAAAACTCGAAGGAGAAACGTCGACGTAAAATTAAAATTAAAATGAAAAAGGAGAAGGAAAAGGAAGAAAAAAAAAAAAAAGGGGGGGGTGGGGTCGAAGGGAGGGAGAATTCAATGATCCACGATTTTAAGATAAATTATTTTCAATGGAAGGACAATGATTACTATTATTCGAAAAAGATCGATCGTACGATTACAGGATTTTTAATCGAAACACGATCGATATATCTCAGTCTGAAGGACAGATATAATACACACATATCGATATGAATAATCCGAATGGAGAGATACGAAAGAGGGGGAAGAGAAAGAAAAAAAAAAAAAAACAAGAGAGAGAGAAAGGTTATACATCCACTATTCAAATAGTAAAGAAGAATCCGACGATCGTGCGCACGTGGCACGTGGTCTCGTGCAGCGACACGGCCACTCTCATGCGCTTTTTTACTGCTGACTCGCCATAAGAAAAAAAAAAAAAGTAGAAAGGAAAGAGAGAGAGAGAGAGAGAGAGAGAGAGAGAGAGAGAGAGAGAGAGGAGAGAGAGAGAGAACAAGAAAGAAGAAAGGAGAGAGAAGATAGAAACGTAAAAAAGAAAAATAGGAAAAAAAAGAAGGAGCAAAAAAAGGAAAGGGAAAGAAAAATACAAAAGGGTAGCTACCCCTCCTATCGTCTCGCGTACGAATCGAGAAGGAATCGTGAATTCAAGTGCAAAAAAAAAAAAAAAAAAGAAAACAAAAATGAAATTTTGAAAAAAGAAAAAGAGAAAAAAAAGAGAAAAAAAAAGAAAAAGAAAAAGAAATACAAAACGTAATCGCGATAGTCGTTGCTGTTGATTTAGTTATGGGTTGTACGTTTATGTATATTAATATTGATGGGAAAGTAAGCACCGGGACCCTGTATAAAAGGAATGAAGGTACGACGAAGGGCATCATCAATTCGAGGGCACACCAGGTTAGTTCGAAATTATCCGTCATAAGGCCAAGCCGTCGCGAGTTCTCGGTGTAATTCCATTAATTTACGAATGGCAGCCGATGCAGACCGCCGCATTCATTATCATTATCAATACTGCATAGAATCGCGTGACAAGTGCGTGGCCGCAAAGCGGAACGCCCTAGGTAGGTCCTACGCTTAGGTTCTGACCGCTACTCTGCGTTTCAGACTACTCGCTAAGCCGCCGCCGTCACCACCGCCACCACTACCATCACCACCACCAACCACCACCAACCACCACCATCACCACCGCCACAGCCATCACCACCACCGTCGCCACCGCCACCGCCAACGCTACCAACGTCGTCAGTCTTTTCCCAATTTGTCCTTTGAATTATGCAACGTACATATATATGTATGTATGTATGTATGTATGTATGTATAGAAATATGTATAGAAAAGAATCGAATAAGAATCGAAAGATAAAGGAGGACATTGCGAAGAGAAAAGGATGAACCTAAAGAGAAAGGAAGAGAGCGCGAGTCTTCGATCGATCTTTCATTTTCTTCTTTCTTTTTTCTTTTCTTTTTTTTTTCCTTCTTTTTTCTTTTTCTTTTTTTCCTCTTTTTCTTACAAATAAGTCATTTCGTATTGACATTAATAATCCCTCGTCGTTTTTCTTCTTTTCCCTGAAATTCTTTACGTCTTTTCCTTTGTTCTTCTTTATTTTCTTCTTCTTACTTTTCTCGTCGATAAAGAAAATCAAAGGATAAAAAGGGAAAGGAAAAAAAAGAAGAAGAAGAAGAAGAAGAAGAAGAAAAGGGAATTAGAAAGGGGGAAGACAGAGAGAGAAAAAGTAGGAAAAAAAAAATGAAATTGTTAATTAGTATTCGAAATAAATAATTAATTCTATTGAAATAATAATATTAATATTAATAATAAAATTCTCATGAAGTAACATCTAAAGAGAATAGGAAAAGATAAGAGAGAAAGAGAGAGAGAGAGAGAGAGAGATGATAAGGAACCATTATCATCCTCCCTCCTTCTCTTTCTCCCTTTCTCTCTTTTAAAATTCTGTTACTAGTTGTTACTAGTGAAAATAAAAAAAAAAAAAAAGAAAAAAAGAAATAAAGGAAAATAAAAAAAGATGAAGAAAGATAAGAAAAAGAAAACAAGGAAGAAAGGAAGGAAGGAAGGAAGGAAGGAAGGAAGGAAGGAAGGAGGGAAGGAAGGAAGGATGGAAGAGAGGGTAGAGAGGGAGGGAGGGAGATACTGAAGGAGGCTGCGGCGATCGACTCGGACTTGGCCATGAGGCTAAACTAATTTGCAGCGCGAGGGCGGTCGGTAGGTTGAACTCTGGACTAGGAGAGGGTAAAGACAGAAAGAAATGGAGATAAAAAAAAAGAGAGAGAGAGAAAGAGAGAGAGAGAGAGAGGGAGGGGAGGGAGGGCGTTGATATGGGACCAGAAGAAAAGAGGGGAGAGGGTGTCATTCGATTTCATGTGGTGGGGTACCAAATTCCAAGTGACCAGTAAAAGTGCCACCCCCATGTGTATTCTCCCTCCCTCTCCCTCTCTCTCTCTCTCTCTGTCTATCTCTCTATCTCTCTCTCTTTCTCTTTCTCATTCTATCAACGTTTAAACGAGTTTTCTCTTTCTGTTACTCTCACTCTCTACATACCAATACTAAGAACCATTTCTTCTCTCTCTCTCTCTCTCTCCCTCCCTCTCTCTTTCTCTCTCTCTCTCTCTCTCTAAAACTTTCCTTTTCTTCTCTTCCTTTCTCTTTCTAAAACTTTCCTTCTCTCTCTCTCTCTCTCTCTCTCTCTATCTCTCCCTCTCTCTTTCTATCTCTCTCTAAAACTCTCCCTCTCGACGATCACTTTTTCTCTCTCCTTCTTTTTTCTACATTTTCCACTCTCTTTTCTCTATCTCCCCCACTTCTCTCCCTCGCCGAGTCGAAACCAAGATAGAGGGGAAAGAAACTGTGAACTGGGGTAAAAAGACTTGCTCGTGCTGGCTCGCGCGAAGGACGGCGATAGTAGTTTAGAGACGCGTGTATGCGTGTGCCCGCTCTTTTTTAACACGCGCGTGCAGGTGCACGAAGGGAGGGGTTGAAAAGAGAGAAGGAAGTACCTTCGTACAAGGACGAACTCTCGTTCAGTATTGTAACTATCTATCATTGAACCCTGCACACGTTCTGCCTTTTTCATTTCTTTTCTTTTCCTTTTCTATATATATATATATATATAAAATATACACACCTCTTGAACCGGAATACGATCGAGTAGAAGTTTGTTTACAGAATGAAATCGTAAGAAGATAAAAGATAAAGAAAAAGAAAATAATCTCATATGTCGAGCGAGTAGAAAAAAGAAAAATTTGTCATACAAAATATGATGATCTAAGTATATATACATACATACATACATATATATATATATATATATATATATATATACGTATGTTCGTTTGGAGGTGGAAAAAAAGGGAAAAAGAATAAACATAAAAAAAAAATAGTAATAATAATAATAATAATAAATAAAAACAAACGCAAATATAAAGGAACCCGATATAGGCTAAAGAGAAATCCATCCCTGAGTTTGAAAGACTATGTGGGGGTTGGCACGCCGCAAGGGGTGACTTCGCGGTAGGACGACGACTGGTGGGAGTTCGTGGAAGGGAAGAGAAGAGAAGAGAAGAGTAGCGAAGAGAAGAGAAGAGGAGGAGGAGAACAAGAAGGTTTAGATGAAGGTGGAGGAGGAGAACGAGGAGGAGGAAGAGGAGAAGGGGGACGAGTGGAAAGCTCTCGGTGGAGGGGTGTTCGGTGGAGTTGAATCAACGCGGGGGTGTATGGGGGAATTAGCGGATGGCCGTGGACAATGTGGGGGATACTTTCTCATATCAAGTATGGCCGCCATCGTGGCACGATGGCCAAAACAATAGTAAGTAGTCCGAGCCTTAGGCGTCCGTTCTTCTTCCTCGTAATTTTCCTTCCCCTTCGACCCTTTATATAGTTTCGTTCATACTGATTTTTCTACTCCTTTTCTTTCCTATATCCATCATCTTTCTTCATCTTCTTTTTCTTCTACTTCCGTCTTCTTTTTATTTTTCTTCCCTTTCTTTTTCTTCCTTTTAATCTTCTTTTCTTTCTCTCTACGAGAACTTCTCCGAAGATTCCCATTCTTTCTTTTCGTCTTTCAGTGCGGAGTAGTGAAAGTAAAGTGCCGCGTTATCATCGGAGTTCTTCTTCATACTTGTCGCGTCTACGTGATAAACGAGAGATCTTGATCTCTCGAATGATCGACAAATGGATAAGAGTAAAGACGAGCTGCTGTCAATCCTAAGTAACGACGATTGCCTTGGGCCGATTCACGTGGAGGACTCGACCGAGCTGATCGCGATCACGGTGAGTGATTCTCACTCTCTCTGTATATATATATATATATATATATATATATATATATATATATATATATCTTGCTTTATCGACGGCCTTCTCACGTTTAACTATTCCAAAAATAATGGTTGGTTCTTAATGTCTCGTGCAATTAACGAAACACAGCTGCCGTTCGTGGTTATCTTGTATCGCATATAAACTGACGTGAGAAATTATCCGACTAATGACGTCGGATCTGCGATATTCTAGTTGATCTCTCTCTCTCTCTCTCTCTCTCTCTCTCTCTCTCTTTCTCTCTCTCTATCTATCTATCTTTCTCTCTTTCCTTAAATATTTTTCTTCCAGACGTTGATACGTTTACACGCTCGAGACCGATAAAAAGGAGAAAAAGAAGAAGACAAAAACAAACAAAAATAAAAAAAGAAAAAAGAAAAAGGAAAGAAAAGAATTCGAATAATTCGAACGAACATATATCTTACAATACGACGAACAAATTTTCTTTTTAAAATATTTGTTATATCAGGCCCATTTTTCTTCTTCTTTTTCTTCTCTTTTCTTTACACCGCCCTTTTTACATTTTCTCTCCCTTCTCCCTCTCCTCTCTCTCTCTCTTTCTCTCTCTCTCTCTCTCTCTCTTTCTCTTTCTTTTTCTCGCCTTTCAAATAGGAACTCTTTATCTCCGTAGGAACGTAACGATACCGTGCCGTTAGCCATTTGTGGATCGACTAAAAGACCGAGCAGTCGGTACTACTATACCTCCCAGTTTACTCCCGACGTCTTTTGCATGCGAATACTCCACGTGGTTCATCTGACGACACGCATTGCGCAGATCCAACCTTCCTTCGATCCCCACTTACATAGTCCTCTCTCTTTCACTCTCTCTCTCTCTCTCTCTCTCTCTCTCTCTTTATATATATATATATACATACATACATAACATACTCTAGAAATGTTATACATCTTTGGTAGAAATGCGATACTATTCCATTTGTACGTTGCTTGCTCTTACTTACGATTCGAATCTCGAATGCATATTAACACGCGAAGGCCCATCCTTTTTGTTCTACGAGGGAACGAAGGGAACGGGTGGGGGGAGGAGAGAAAGTGTGAGAGAGAGAGAGAGAGAGAGAGAGGGAAAGGATGAGCCACGTGTCGTCGTTTCTTACAATGTCGCGCGTATTTCTATCTTCATTTTTTTTTTTTTTTTTTTTTTTAATCGAGAAGAAAATTAAAGAAGAAAAAGAAAAAGAAAAAACGAGAAGAAGAAGAAGAAGAAGAAGAAACAAGAATCGATTCTTTTTACTTTTAATCGCGAATATAAAAAAAAAAAAAAAAAAACCGTACTGGAGCATTCTCTTTTCTTTTCTTTGCTTTCTCGTTTTTTTTTTGTTTTCTTTCTTTATCGTTGTGTTCTTTTTATATATATATATATATATATATATATATATATGTATATATTGGAAACTTCGTTCTTACGTGCAATATAACGGGAATGATTTAATTAAGTTATAAATATTCATGTGCATGGAATATTAACGATATAAATTTCTCATTAAATTATCTAATTCAAATGAATTATAATATTCAACTTAGAGAATATTTTTTCTTTCTCCCTATCAATAGCAAGCCATATGCTTTCTTTATTTCTCTATCGTTTCGTTTCGTTTCGTTTCGTTTCTTTTTTTTTTTTTTTTTTTTCTTTCTTTCAATTGGACCCCGTCAAGATACCGCGAGAATCGAGAGAATCGATTGAAGAGAACAAACCCATCGCCCGAAATAATATTTGTGATATTGATAATTTTTTGTTGGGTGGTTTTTTTCTTTTCAATTTTTTTATCCTTTTCTTCTTTTTTCTTTTTCTTTTTTTTTGGGGCCGGGGGGGGGGGAGGAACATGAAATTCAAAATGGGTGATGAACGCGGATAAATTTTCAGGACTTCTGTTGCTGTTGCTGCTGCTCCTGCTGCTGCGATGATATTTGTCTTGTTTACGAGAAGACTTATGCGCGTGTGCGAAGCACCGACCGAAGTTCGCCGCTCGATCAATAGGCCTCTACTGAAATCACACATAAACGCAGCACTCACTCCCACGCACACGTACGTCCGTCCATAGTAACGCACACATTTTTACGCGCGCGATCTCCGTCAAACTATCTAAGCTTCTTCTCCTCTCTCTTTCGACTTTTCCCGAGGCCAGGTCCCCCCATTCCCTTTTCCACAAACTTTCGGAGTAAAATGTTACATAGGCCTTAAAGTTTATCGATTAAAAACGAAAAAAAAAAAAAAAAAAGAAATGAAATATATATATATATAATTTTTTCTTTTTTTTCTTTTTTCTTTTTTTTGAATTTGTACAATAATATCTCTTTTGTCCTTCCTTCATCTTTAAAATGATTAACGGAAACGATAAAAACGTGAAATGATTATTTACGATCGATAAATTGCTTCTGATTTAATTATTTTCCACGACAAAGGACAATCTGCAATTGGATAAAATTAAATTGAGAGATTGTAGATAGGTATGTCTTAAAGAAAATAAAAAGAATAAAAGCAAACAAGTAAATAGACGTACGAACAATTCTTTTTAAATCGATAATAAAAAAAAAAAATATACATATATATATATATATATAAATATAAAAAAGAAGCAATAAAAATTTTTCTATGAATCATGATAATCGTGAGAAAGACAAGGTCTGTCTAAATTATACTATTAATTCACGAATAGGCATGATTATTTTATTTCGATCGTCATTTAGGTGCACACACGTATATGTACAGGGTACACACACGCGGCATACACGTGAAATAGAACAGAGAACAGCTGTGAAAATAATTTCTCGTTACGCGACTATTATTATTATTATTATTCGAGGCTTGTAACTGTTTTAGTTGCGATTAGTGACTTTAGCGAAATTATAATATATCGTATATTATATTTATAATGATTTAACATTAACGCATTAAATAACAATTGATGGATTTGAAGTTGGTGTAAAACGATGACTGAGCTTGAATCGAATGATAAAGTGTTTTCTTCACGACGTTTCGTATCCTTCGAACGAAAAGCTCCATCATAAAGCTTCGATCTTTGTCTCTCTCACTCTCTCTCTCTTTCGCTCTCTCTTTCTATCCTATAACATGTTTTTCTCGACACCCTTTCGAAAGGACAACGCAGAACCCTAGTCTCCCCATTTTCGCTATCATTCATCCAATTCCAACTATGTACAGCGTTCTACGTTTTCATGATATATATATATATATTATATATATATATATATATATATATATATATAAAATGTGTATACATATGCGTGTGTGTGTGTGTGTGTGTATAGATATAGTATATAGCGAGAGAACTGAACGCGAACATACGGGCGTATTTATACGTATTTTTGGAAAATCTGTCAAACGTTACGTGGAAATGCGGGTTTTGCAACACCGACAAAATTCACCCCTCCTACTTTTCCCTTTTCCTTTTTTTTTCCTTATTTTTCCCTCTTTCCCCCACCCTCTTCTTTCTTTCTTTCAACCACCCATCAACCCTCACGTAATCCAATTTTCTTTCTAACAGCACGCGAATCTTCAAATTTCTAATAACATCTATCGCGTCTGGCTTTATTTTCTTTCTTTCTTTCTTTCTTTCTTTTTCTTCTTTTCTTTCTCTTTCTTGTTCTTCAATTGTTATTTGAGTTATTTTATTTTCGTTCTTATTTATTTATCCTTCTTTGTGATATATTATTGTCGGATCTTTATAAAAAAAAAAAAAAAACGATATAATAATTCGTTATGACGTGTAAGCATCGAAGAAATTAGTTTCAAAATTGAATATAAAAATTCTTTTCTTAAACGAATTCCGTTCGCGTCCGTGTGCTTAGGCACGACGAAAGTATTATCAGAGAGCTTATCGATATTAAAAATATTAAACTCTCATAATATTAAATAACACTGATATAATCTCCCAATAAGTACGTCTTAAACAATAGGAAAGAAAAAGAAAAAGAAAAAGAAAAAAAAATAAATGTACATCTGTATCAATATAGAAATATGAAAATAGATAGATAAAATGGATTTGTTTAATAGATGACTCAGATGATCCGTAGAAATGATCTATCCAGTAAAAGAAGAAAAACACGAGGTTCTTCTCCCTCGTGAATTAAGGGGTGGGGATAGGAACGTTCGAAGGTGGAAGGGAATAGAGAACGGTGCGACGGGCCCTTCATAGGGCACGCGTTCTATACCAAACAGTAACCTAGGAGAATTCGTGGGGACTTAAGCGAAACAGGGCACGCGACGACTACCTGATTCCTCCTATTTCATCTCCTAAGGAAAAAAAGAAATAAGAAATAAGAAAGACACCGTCGTCTTCCCTCTCTCTCTCTCTCTCTTCCTTTCTCTCTCTCTCTCTCTCCCTCTCTCTATTTCTTTCTTCCTTTCTTTTTATAATTCTTCCCATCCTTGAGAATTTCATCGAATATTATTCTCCTTCCGCCAAGCGAACTCGTAAATTCAAGGACACTCGTGACATTTTTTTTTGTGTTCTCCCTTACACACACACACACACACACACACGCATACAAAAAAAAAATATATATATATATATATATGCCACATCTCTTCCCTTCTTCTTTTTCGAAAGATAAAGAAGCCACGTGCCAATAACGTTATCCCATCGTCTTTCAGCGGCCCTTTAAGGACCCTTCGAGTCTATCCACACACCTCCGATATCTAAACGTTCCTACAAATTCTTTTGGCCAAGTGTCACACATGGAACACCTAGAGCCAACTTACCGTACGATCACTCGCGTGATTCTAAGTGCCGATGTGCTGTGTTCAAGGTGATCCCTTGTGTTCTACGAGAGACGAACTCGATCGATCGGTTATGAAACGGAGACGTTACAAGTGTCGCGGAAATAAGCCAACACTTTTTAGGTAAGGAATTATGTTCGAAAACTCAAAAAAAGAAAAAAAAGAAGAATAGAGAAAAAAAAAGGGAAAACATAAAGATGAAGAAACAAAACAAAAGAAAAGAAAAAAGGGGAAAAGAAAAAAGGAACAAAAAAGTCTCAATGTTAACAACGCATAGAAAATGATAATTATCTTCTGTCTAGTCGTTGTTTTTACTTTTCTTCTGTTTTGTTCTTTCTCTCCTTTTTTCGTTTGTTCTCTTTTCTTCTTCTTCTTTTTTTTCCTTTTTTTTTTGTCAACACGTCGGAAAAGTTACATCGAAGTTCATAATTGCAAAGGAATTTAAAGAAGATCCAATGTCAATTTTCTCTAATCGTATAAACAATTACAGTGTAATTGTGCGCGCGCGTGTACGTAAAAGTATGTGTATGTGTGTGTGTGTGTCTGTGTATCGTGCGCGTTTTTCTTCTGTTTATCTTATTCAGTTTCGTGCGCGTTCAATGACAATTTCGTGGAAAAAAAGAGCCAAAAAAAAAAACAAAAAAAAAGAAAAGAAAGAAAAAGAGAAAGAGAAACAAAAAAGAAGCAGAAAAAGAAGAAAGAAAAACATAAAAAGAAAGGAAAAAAAAAAAATAAAAAAAAAAAGAAGAAAAGGAAAAAAGACGAGAAAGAAAGAAAAGAAGTCTACGATAGAAGTTTGATTTTAGTTCGATCAGTGATATCTATCAATTATTCCGAAAGTTTTCGATAAACCTCCCAGCCCTCCTCCCCCACCCGTATAATTCTATGTCTTTCTATCTTTCTCTTATTACTCAAGGACAATAGGAGAGAAGATAGAAGAGCATGGTTCTCTCTTTTGGTAAGGGGTCAATGCACTCTTGGTATAGCCTATGAGGATAGACACAAAAGACGAGTAATACTGCTCGTCGTTCTGAATTAGTAATTACCACGTTTCTGAAATGCATATTCGTACTATCCTCCGAATTCGTCCCTAGGAAAGTATGCGAGGGGTGGGTGTATATATCTATATATATATATATATATATATATACATATATATATATATGAGTCATGTGCGCTCCCCGAAACGTCTCCCTTTTTCAACCGCATGTCCATCGAGCATAGGGCGTACCGTCGCGCACGTCTCTTTCGCCAAATTTCTTCTTCCTTTCTCACCCTTCGAAGCAGTAGTACGAAATGCCCCGTTACTCCTACTTCTCTCTCTCTCTCTCTCTCTCTCTATTACTACTCAGCCCCTTAGATCATCCCTCCTGTCCAACTAAAATCGTTAATATCCTTCGAAATTAATATCGTCGTATCCAAAATGTTTAGCGGTGTTCGAGGTTTCGAAGAATATTTTCAAACGTTCAAGACATTTATCATCAAAGATACCTGCTTATACATCGCGATCCACGTATGGAGATATGATTTTACCTTTTCTCTTTCTCTCTCTCTCTCTCTCTCTCTCTCTCTCTCTCTTTTGATCGAGACAATCAACGACAAGTTTCTTATATATCGATGGATATATGTACAGGATGATCTTTTGGAAAATGTTCGATTATTTTGAACGTATTATTAGGATCGTGAAAGAAAAAAAGTAATCGACGATTACAGAGAGAAAAAGGAAAGTGAAGAAAAGATAAAGTAAGAGAGAGAAAGAGAGAGAGAGAGAGAGAGAGAGAGAGGGAGAGAGGGAGAGAGAGAAAAGATCGAAAGAGAAAAGTAGAGGAATTTTGATAGAAGTTTGTACGATTAAATTACATGAGTTTCTCTGTCGACAGAGGGAGAAGATCTGACGTGGAACGAGAGAGGGAACTCTTTGGTAAGAGTCAACATGTCGTCGACGATGGCACAAGAGACGACGATATCGGATCTCACGGAACTAGACAGCGACGGAGGCTCGAGTTCGGAGGAACGAGATTTGAGAAAACGTCTTCGCGGAGACGCTGATTTTGCTGGACCGAAGAAGAGACGAAAGCAAACGACACCGGTAAGATTTTCATCGTCCTTGATGAACGAACTACAGGAGGAGTCGAACGAAGACGAGGAGGATGATGATGATGAGGAGGAGGAGGAAGAGGAAGAGGAGGAAGGAGAATTGGACGTTGACAGCGAAGGTAAGCTGTCTTCGAGATCACCGAGTCGTCATCATCACCACCTTCATCATCATCATCACCATCTTCATCATCATCATCATCCTTCGATAAAAGATGAAAATCTAAACAACGAATTTCGTTGTCAGTATTGCGGTCAATTTCTCGATAGCAAGGAAACGTTGAACGTACATTTGGATAACGAGCACGGTGCGGCGACTAATCAAACGACTAATCATCTATTGCAAAACAGATCATCCTCGGCCGTGATAAAATTGGAAGGATCGAACGATCATCAATCGGAGAGTCCCGTTAATCTATTGACCGTAAAAAATTTCGCATCTTCCTGGTTGAATCAGCAACAACAACAAAACGTCCAATCGCAAACGCATATACAATCGCAAAACGACGAGCCATGGCCAGGGCCATCGAGTCAATTGGCAATGAGCAATCATTTGCAAGCGTTAACTGGATTCCCAGGTGCTCTGGGTTCGTATCTTCCTTTACCGACATTTCCATTGCATGCCGATCCAACGCATATCCCAAGAACGTCCATACCTTCCGCACCCGTTAGGATCTTTAATCCTGAGGCTTATTGCGATTTATGCAACAAAGAATTTTGTAACAAGTATTTCTTAAAAACGCACAAGGCCAACAAGCACGGTATTTACGTTGATTCGCCAGGACCTAATACGACCAACGATAATAATAGTGCCAACGTCCTTCCATCGCAAATATTCCCGAGCGGTGGTTTTACAAGTACGTCGATTAAATTGGAACCGCCGGCTACGCCGCCGATGCCAAGCGTTCCGTGCGACGTATGTCAAAAACGTTTCAAGAACGACGAATCGATGAGAAAGCACAAGCAAAAGATTCACAACGAGTCGATCGAGCAAACGGCCGATCAATCTTTGCCTGCTTCGCAAAGCGAAGACGACAGGGAGACACCGCGCAGTAGTCCTGGCGGCATAGAGACCCTGTTCAAGCAAGAATTTGGCATCGAGCAAGAGGATACGACGTTTATGCCAGCACCTAGACACCTCTCACCTCAATCGATCCAACAAGCTCGAGACTCGGGATTCAATGCCGATCGTCTTCGTCGTTTAGGCGTTATCAATCCCGAAGCATTCTGCGAGATTTGTTGCAAGGAATATTGCAACAAATATTTCCTTCGTACGCACAAAATGAAGAGACACGGTATAATCGTACATGACAACGAAAAATCACCTAGCAATCCTGCGGCGGCGCTCACCTGGCATCAAGTACAAACTAGTCCCCTTAATTTGATAGTGGCCGAGTCTGGCAATGGATCGGAATCGAACGATCGTACAAACGACGATTACGAGTGTAAACCTTGCGGCATACGTTTTCAAACGGTCGGTCTTTATCAGGCACATTCTAGGAAAATCCATGAAAACGAGGAACAACAATCGCCGAAACAAGAATTCGATCAGGACACGTCCGACCAACGTACCGATTCCATTTCCGAAGATCTTCAAAAACTTCAGACGATGATCCTGCAATTGAATGGTTTGGAATCTAACATAGGAAAGGGATTACAATCCTGTAACATATGCGGGAGAGAGTGCGAATCTAGAACATCTTTGCGAATTCACATGGCGACCGAGCATTCTCACGTCACGGAGAATCCGTCGCAATCGCCGATTCAAGATAAATCATGCGAATCAGGAAATACAACGATCGTAGCTTTTTGTACACTTTGCGAGAAGGATTATGTAAGTCAAGAAGCTTTGAAGAAACATATTGTCGAGGAACATCAGGCAACGATACCAAATCCATTGTCGCAAGTACCTCCTCCTCCTCCTGCTATTGGTTCTACCGTTATTAATACGAATACTTTGATCAATTCTACATCGAGTATCATGACGATACCAACGAGCGGCAATCAAACGCAAACGGAAAAAAAGATCACCTCGATGACGCCAACCTCGAGTTATTGCGAAATTTGTAACAAAGAATTGTGTAATAAATATTTCATGAAGACCCATATGCAAAGGATGCATGGAATAGAAATAGAAAATGGCGCTCAAATTGGTGGTGTTATATGTAACATCTGTAACAAGGAACTCTGTAGTAAATATTTCTTAAGAGTTCACAAACATAATACGCATGGTATCGTCGACGAAAATGCTACTACCTCGTCCTCGGCCAAACAGGAGGCTTACGATGCCTCGAGCTCCGAGGATTCGGCTTTGAAGCCGGAACAATTGGGTGACCTAAGTCATCGATATTTTACACATTTCACCGAGGTCTGTCCGATTTGTAGCCGTAGGTTTCGCAGTATCAAATGGCTCAAGGCACATCTGTTGGGAGATCATGGAAAAATCGGTATCGATAAGTGGCGCGATATGGAACAACAATATCAAGCCACAACGAGGAACGCTAATAGATCTGGTAATAATAATTCGAAAAATGTTCAACAAGTTTCGAATCTTAAAATACCGAATGGCTACGAACTGAGCCAACAAAATAAGACGACCGATTTAACCAGTAACATTGGTAATCAAGTATTGTCGAATTTATTTGGTTCTACCTCGGACGATCAACAAATGAAAAATTATCGTTGCAGTTATTGCAATTTTTCGACGACAATTTTACCATTTTTATTCCTACACGAGAGATCCCACGTTAACACTCAAGAAAGCATAGACACCGACAATACTCTCCAATGTCCAATATGTTCTCAAGGATTCCATCAGCCTGAACAATTGCACCAACATTTGCTAACCAGACATCAATTTCCGGCACTGCTAACGCAGTTTCAAACGCCCATACTTGGAAATCAAAACATTGATCAGGAAAAGGTTAGTAACGATCCGAAGGATTTGAGATCGGAGGAATCGAAGGACGATAATGTAAACAGGAATCAGATTAATCCAACGATGAGTCAGAATCTTGTCCCCGTCCCCGAACAAATAAGAAATCAAAGAAATCAAGAGGACAATGCCGTACAGGTGACTCCCCATGGTGCTTACAAGTGTGCTCAATGCGGATACGCGACTACGAATCTTAACAGAATTAAAAAACACGTTAGAAAGGATCACACTGCGATCGGTGATCCAACGGACAGCGTAATAGCCGAACTTAGCAAAACTTTGAAGGACGTTGCTAATAGGCACAAATTGCCAGCCTGTTATGCAATGCCACAGGATATCAACGTCGGTGATAAAACAATAATGCAACCGTTCCTGATAGACGAACAACAGGATCCATCGTTGCATAACAGCGACGAATCCAATTCGGAAAAACGATTTATGCCAGCTCTCGTTTATCTACCTGTTAAATCACGAATTAGCAGTGCACTGACCGCGTCCTTCACTCTCACACCTGCCTAAGAGGAAAGAAAAAGAAAATGAAAAAGGAGTATCTGACTCCTTCCTATCTAACAAATGTCTAAGAAAGAGAAGAGGAAGAAGGATGCAATTAGTTCTCTGCGCCTGCGATCTGAAGCACGTGGTATCGGTTCCTATCTACTACTACTACTACTACACTACTACTACTACTACTACTACTACTACTACTACTACTACTACTACTACCAAGTAAGACGACATCGAAGATGTTGAGATTTTTATATCAAATACTTTTTAATAATAGCTCTGATCTGCCTTTCATGAAGTTTTTATATAGTACATCCGTTTATATTACTCTGTTGTTTTACTTTTTCTTTTTTTTCTCTCTCTCTTTCTCTCTCTTTTTCTTTTGCATTTCTTTTTTACTTTTTTCTTTTTCTTTTTCTTTTTTTTTTTTTAATATACATATATATATATATACATAGAACAACATCCTTTCTTTAATCGATTCGATTTCTCGTGAATAATCTGTGATGATTCGATAGATAGATTTCGATAGAGGAAAAAGAGAAGGAGAAGAGGAGAAAGAGAAAGAAAAGAAGAAGAAAATAATAATAATAATAATAATAATAATAATAATAATAATAATAATAATAATAATAATAATAATAATAATAATAACAATAATAATAATAATAATAATAATAATAATAACAACAATAATAATAATAATAATAATAATAATAATAATAACAATCTCGCTAAATTCTAATTATCGTCATTATTAGCACTGGGGTAGTAATTAAAAGGATATTTCTTTTCTTTTTTTCTTTCAACAAAGGCGAGAGCACGTTTTATTTATTCAATGGTTTTTCATCGCGACGTCATATCCGGTTATCGAAGGAAGAAGGAGGAGTGGGTGGAATTGACGAGGGATGGGTGGGGGGAGGGAAGAAAAAAAATGGAAGAAGAAAAGAAAAAGAGAAAGAAAGAAGTAAGACAAAACAGAAAATGACGAACACGTAGATTTCTCTTTTACATCCTTGGCCCGAACATTTCTTCTTTTTTTCTTTTTTTGTTTTTTTTGTTTTTTGTTTTTTTTTTTTTTTTTTTTCTTATAAGAGATATGTATGTAAAATTACACGTAGTAACGTAGGGAAGCACATCTCGCGTTTAAAAGCCACGTTGTTATATTGTAAATATACTTACACTATCAATTATATAAAAAATGGGTGATCGACAAAGTTCCTATTTTCAATGCGACGGGCCTCCAAAGAAACGGAAACAAGAATGAAGAAAAAAAATAGCAAAAAAAAAAGTAAATAATAATAATAATAATAATAATAATAATAGTATTAATAATAATAATAATAATAATAATAAAAAACAAAGAAAAAAGAAAAGAAATAAAAGTAAAAGGAAAGAAAGCGTTATTATACGCGAATTACATACTACACATCTTTTTTCGATGTATGTACGTACGTATGTACGTATGTATGTATGCATGTATGTATGTATGTATGTATGTATGCATGTATGAGTCTAAGATATATGTGTACGTACGCTTTCATTATCATGTCTATACTCTTTCAAGTACATACCCAAATATTATTTTCTTTGTTCCTCCTTTTCGATTAATTATTAATGAATTACTTATTCGAACGAGAAATCGATTCTGAAATTATTATGATGCGTTGAGAAAAGGAAAAGGAAAACAAAAAAAAAGAAAAAAGAAAAAAGAAAGGAGGAAAGAAGACAGAAAAAAGAAAGAAAGAAATAATAATTCGATTGAAAGATCGACTTCGATCGGTATTTCAAATATTGTATCGAGACGTGTTATCGTTATTTACTTTTGCGATTTTTCCTAGTCAATATTTTATATATAAATTTATCTGTAAGCAAAGATTGAACGATAAATGATTGCGGAAAGAGATTTAAAGAGGTATTTATTAATATACAAATAGATTTTTCGTAAAAATATGAAGAAGAAGAGAAAGAAGATGAAGAATGAATGAAAGAAAGAGAGAAGAGTTAAATAAGGAAAAAAAAAAAAAAAAAAGAAAAGAAACTAATATCGTCGTAATAACCACAGATGAGAAGCATATATAAGAAGAAAAGAAAAATAAAACAACAATTACAACAACAACAATAACAACGAGATAATATAACAAATATGGATGAGAATTTGTCGATTATATAATTGAACGTGAACGATTATAATGATATTATGTTTAGATATCAACAAAGAAAAGAGGAAAAAAGAAGAAGAGAGAAGAAAAAGAAAGTAAAAAAAAATTGAGAAAAAAGATGGCCAACAACAAACTCAGGGCGGACACAGTATAACCCGCAACAAAAAGTACAATCGTATACACAGCCAACGCATCTCGCATAGAATTAAATAAAATAAAATAAAATAAAATAAAATAAAATAAAATAAAATAAAATAAAATAAAATAAAATAAAATAAAATAAAAGGAAGAAAGAAAAAAAATAAAATAAAATAAAATAAAAGAGTACTACTACTTTAAAATAAATATATAGCGCTATTGTAGGATTTTCGTATGTGGCACGGTTTATCAAGTTTAATCATTTTAATGCTCTCTCAATATTAAAGAAAATATTAAAAAAAAAAAAAAAAAAAAAAAAAAAAGAGAGAAAAGGATAGAGAGAGAAAGAGAGAAAGAGAGAGAAAGAAAAACCTAGCCGATTCGATGAATCCCATAAACAATTTACCAACGTCTCTATGGGTAAAAAAAAAAAAGAAAAAGAAAAAAAAACTTAAAGTCTCTTAAACCGTAAATTTTACATAGTCTCTAGTCTTTTAATACCAAAAACTCTTTATCGTTCTGAATCGTAGTACGGTATAGAAGAAAGAGAAAGAAAAAGAGAAAGAAAAAGAAAAAGAAAAAGAGAAAATAATAGAGAAAAAAGATTAGAAAGAAATATGAAGAAACTTATAGTTCCTCCGTGAAAAGCTGTTTTCAAACTCGTGCCTTGCAGCTTGAAAAACTAAAAATCAAAATTTTGAAAATTCTATATTATTAATAATATTACACTGACATAAACGAAAGAAAGAGAGAGAGAGAGAGAAAGAGAAAGAAAGAGAGAAGAAAAGGATAAGAAAACAAAAAAGAAGAAGACAAAAAAAAGAGCGAGAGAAAGGATAAATCCCTCCTTCTAATAATCTCTATCCCTGTATAAAAATAAAATAGATATCTAATAGAAATCTAAGAACTAAATCGACGCGACGCGTATATATCCTCTACTATTGGCCGATTTTTCTTCGAGACTGCGTTTATTTCTTTTTTTTTTTTTTCTTCTTTTCTTTTTTTTTTATTAAGAAAAATAAAAAGATAAGGAAAAAAAGAAAAGAAAGAGATACAATAAAAAATGTACTCGGTTATACAATGTGGGTTCCGAATTGCCATTCTCACTCGTACACTTTGCAGATGCTTAATATTTCATTAGAGGGTGAGTTTAAAAAAAATTTTTTTTTTTCCCTCGTTATAACGACGATAAACGAGCAACCACTATAGGTAGACTCTATGCAGTTCGATCGAAAGGCTCGAAGGGACAGCTGTTCTCTCTCTCGGAGTGACCACACGATAATCGGCCACAGCACACAAACGTGTGTTCCGTCTAACCTCACCTTTAGCTCTCAAAATACGTTTCTCTTGCACCGGTCTCTCTATGCGTTTTACCTTTCTATCCCTCTTCGGTGAACAAACATGCACGATGCATTTCCGTTTTTCGATGCACGCCTACAAGACGTTAAAAGCTCTTCCATTCTTTCTATATATCTCATACGTACATATGTAAAATATATTTATCTATATACATTTTTGTTTGCTTGTTTATTTATTTGTTATTTTTATCATATAACTTTCTATTATATTTTCTCAAATGACAAACAAGCTATTAATTAATTAATTAATTAATTAATAATGGAGCTCATAGATTCGACAAATTGAAATTTATTATCAAATATGTTCTGTTACGTCAACAATGATTTATATTTATATATATATATATACATATATATATATCTCTAAAAGAAATATATATATATATGTGTGTATAGATATATTAATGAGATCATTGATATTCCTTGATATTCTATACTCTTTTATGAGAAAAGTCATAAAGATATCGAGAGCAGCTGGAACCCCGAAACCTGGGTCATTAAGCAGGATATATTCCGAAAGCTTTCATTCAAAAATTCATCCGAATTAGTATGCGTGCACGCGTACATTAACATATTTGTCGGGGGAGAGAAGAAACATCGGCCATTACGGAGGCATTCATAGAGAAATATAGAGAGAAAGAGAGATAACGTGAGAAGGGAGAGAAGAAGAGTGTGTGAGAGAGAGAGAGAGAGAGAGAGAGAGAGAAAGAAAAAGAGAGAGAAAGAAAATAAGACAGAGAGATAGAAAAAGAGAGAGAGAGAGAGAAAGTACGTCGAGAAAAATGGAATTTTTAGCAGCATTCAGAGAGAAATGGCACGGAGGCCCATTTTCTGGGCCGTGGATTCAAACGATTTCGCATCTGGACCCTTTGTCAGAAGGTCAGAGAGGAGAGGTCATGACCTTGGCGGGGATTTTCTGGAAAAAGTCCAAGAGAAACGATCGAAAATGAAGGAGGGTGAAGGGAAGAAGGACTCGATTTCCCTTCTCTCTCTTCTACTCCTCTTTTTGTCCATTTTTCTCGCCCCAACTTCCGTCTCTCTCTATCTCTCTCTCTCTCTCTCTCTCTCTCTCTCTCTCTCTCTCTCTCTCTCTCTCTCTCTCTCTCTCCCCCTCACTCTCTTTTCTTTTTCTATACGATAACATGCAAAATGCACGCGTCCATGTAAATGGGCACCCTCTTAATTGCATCCCATGGAAATATGCGTATTGTGCACTTAATGGCCCGTGCACGAGAGAGAGAAAGAGAGAGAAAGAAAGAGAGAGAGAGAGAAAGAGAGAAAAAGTCGGCGAGGGTCGTCGTATCTTTTAATTGCACCAACGACTCACGCTCGACATTTTATTATTATAAATCGGGTGGCACTTCCCAAGCTCGTCGTGCTCATCTCCTATGCGCATTGTCGATTCTTCGATCGATAAACTATTTCTTTTTTTATTTCTTTTTACGTTCGTTTTGTGTTTTAAATTTCTTTAAATGTCCACTCTCATTACGTAAAATCTAAATTGATATAATTTATCATCATTGGATTTCAATATGCTCATTGATAAACATAGATATTTTTTTGCAACGTGGCAAACAAAAGATTTCTAAAAAAAAAAAAACAAAAAAAAAAAAATAAAGAAGGACAAGAAAAATACTCTTTAACAATCGTGAGATAATTTAAACGATTAATTTCTTCAATTATTTTGGAAAAATTTATTATAAGATATTTCTATTTTCATTTCTATATAAAAATCTTTTATTCAACTTTTCTTCGACGAAATATCG